GGCACAACATGGTGAAGGGAGAGGAAAGGTATCAGGTACCTGGTATTAGGTTTCCTAGCTTTGGTGACTGGGAGGATGCTGGAAATACTACTGAATTTAATGGCACCACATGAAAGAGGGATAGTACGCTCTGGCTTGTTTTATTAGGATTCAGTGCTGCATTGCCTAACTGCTTCCAAAGCTGTATTTTTTTCTTCTTCACCGTATATTCTTTCCCTCTTCAAAAAGTAAAGGAAATCAATAAAATCATTTGATTACAAAAAAAGTATAAATATTGAAAAACATATCTTTCATTTTTTTAAATAAAATACAGCTCAGAACTTTGTTTTCCTTGTAAGACTGGATAGCGTCACTGGTACTATAGCTTTCATGTAACCAGCTCTCTCTTTTAATTTAGGTGTCAGTGACATCAACCATTGTGGGGAGCAAAGAAACTGAGGAGAGATCTTAGAAGATAAAATATCTTTTGGTTCAAATGCCTGTTAAGATTCTAGAAATAATGAAGCAAACATACTCTGCGTTACGTTTGCCTGCAGCAGCCCAGAAAAATCATGTTGCCCGTGTGTGTTTCAAAAAATCAGTGTTTGAGTTTTAATTTTTCTTTTTGAAAGACTCTTAACCCAGTGTTTACCATCTTTACTTTTTCTCCTTCTGGGTCCCAAACTATACTTTTTCTCCTTCTGGGTCCCAGAGTACAACTCTGGAAAATATTTTTCCTTCTGCTTTAGAAGTTATCTGATTTGCTGTGTTCTCCACCGCAGAGCCCAGGGGTCTGAGTCACAGAGTAAGCAAAACACTTCAGTTAAAAGGACCACTCTTTTCCAGTCACTACTTCAGAAAATAAGCCTTGAAATATACCTTCTTTAGGGTAAACAATTTTTTTCCCTCCTAGACTTCATTGTATGGCCTTTACTTGAAAGTGACATCAGCTGGCACCACTGAATGCCTCTGCTTTCAGAAAACATAGGGGAGCTGTAAGGGAACACACAAAGTATCTTCTGTTACATCACGTCTCCTTTTCTGCTGGCAGGGAAAGGCAAGTGCACATTCCTGGCTGGTGGGAGTTGAATGGCACTATGTTCATTTGTTGTTCGTTATTTTTAAGTTTAGGTTCATTCAACCTGCATTTTCAGAGTACAAAACACTGACAGATGGAAGCGGTCATTCTACTACTTCAGCCTTATCACCAAAATGACAATATCTATCTGAAGTCTAAACTACTCAGTGGTGAGCCTGGCACTACCCTCCATTTCATTCAGTAGATCACTACTGTACAGTTAAACTGTACAGTTAAATAGCAACACCCTGACTTAGGGTGTCATTATATTGGGGTAGAATTGTAGTCTTAGCTCCCGTGAATGTTTGGCGTAGAACTTGTCACAGTAGATCATTCTCAGACTATGTTCCCTTATCTCTCTTCTAGCTGCTTACTGCACTGTTTAGATACTACATGCAATCTGCTTTACGCTTTCTAACTTTTTGGAAATTCAGTAAGACACAAAGCACTACAACTGCATGAAAAGCAGCTCGAGGCATCTGGATTAGGACAGATTTTGCAATTTTTTTTATATTCACAGCATTGCAGTCAGAGTTTTTTTCTATCATCTGTGAGGCAGGTTACTAGGAGGGTCCTCTGCATTCTTGCAAAGTTATTATTTTGGATTCTTCATGGACCTATACAGAAAGTAGCTTGTTAGTATGTACTCTGAGTTAGCATGAATGTCTTTGCAGACAAGGAGACCTTTAGCAGAAGGTTGGTCACTGGAGCATAACTATGCAGTGAATTAGCCTGCAATAGAGCAGTAATTTATATAGCTATCTTGTCACACTGTATACAGAGTTTGGGAAGTGTCTGCTGTTTACTGCAGTTGCAGCAGTTACCCCTGTTTCAGCAGTAAACTTACAACTGCTAAAAAAAGAAACTATGGCGATCTCGCCCTTCCCAGCGGACAAAAGGCATGAGTCACATGAGATAGGGAGCTCTTGCTCCCACAAAGCACCTGAGCAGCCTCTGAATTCTTTAAAAATGGACACACGAAAGTTGGAGCTTTTGTCTTCTTCTAGCTTCAGCCATGCTAATGGAAGAAGTGACTGACCCTCTGGTGAAGATTATTGCCCCGCCAATGAACCACGGCTCCGAGGACCATTCCCTAATCTACTTTGACACTTAACAATCAGCTGGGTTAGCTCAAGCTAACGGAAGACAGGCAGTGGTGAGATGGGGGAGGGCAACCAAGCAACAGCTCTGCTTGGGAAAGGGAAGAGGAAGAGAAAAGGTAGCCCCTCTCCAGGGCACTGAAATCATGAGACTGTCACTCTTGTTGCAGGCAGAGATGGAAGACTTTGAACACTTCCATTTCACACTTTTAACCTTTAGCTGTTCCATTTTAAATTGTATGTGTAGTATGTAAGAGCTTCTGTTCGTGTGTGATAAGCTCTGCTTAGACTTGAGAAGGAAGAACTGAGAACAAGAATTAAAAATGCCATGACAGTCTTTACTCTGAGAAAGGGAAAAGATTTTTTTTAACCTATGCTGAGGCTTCAGATGTATTAGACACATTTTGTGCTTTTACTTACGTGGAAAAGGAAAAGAATTTATGCAGTGTGTTTGTACCATTTGTCTACGTTGGATATTATGAATCCATGTCAGAAAAGATTTATCTCATGTGAATCATCTTGTGCAGTTTGTGTAATTTGTGGATTTGAATCACATGTGCATATGTGAAACCAGGTAGCTTGCTCATTGCCAGGTACCATGAATCACCACCATCTAGTAGCAACCTGCAAAGTTCAGGCTTCAATAACATATCCAAATACAGAAGAGGACAACTGAGAATAGAAAACATGTCAAAATGCCCGTAATACTGCTTCTAAAAGATGTTGAGGATTTACCAAATAAAGTATTTTTAAATATCCACAAGGTACGTTAAAATAGGATAGTGTTACTGTTTGACCTATTTACATGCAGTACCCAGGTAGCGATGTCTATACAGCTACTGCTGACGAGGAGTGCTCATGGCGTATGCCAGGGGTTTGTCTGGGGATGTGCTGGCTGGCACCAGCCAGGAGCATGCCCAAGGCTGCTTGAACACCATGACGAGATGGTGGGACGAGGCCAGTGTCAGGAAAGTTCCCAAAGATCACTTGTTTTAGTAGCACACACAAAGCCAGTAATGTATACTCAATCACAGGGCCCTATGGACAAAAGGGACCTCCAGAGGTCAGGTAGTTTTGTGTTAGTCTTGTTAAACCTGGCTAGGCAGCTCTTAGAGACAACCAGCGGTGGAGACTGATCCTCGCTCCTGGGCTATCCGTTCCAGTGCTTCACTACCAATCCCAATTGGAGAGTCCTTCCTAATATCTGCCCGTGAGGTTTTTAAAGCCCATTTGGTTTTTTTGAACAAAAAAAAAAAAGTTACTTTCTGAACAGATGGAAAAATGTATTCCTTCTCTCTTACATATATGAAGGTTATTGCTATGTTTCCCCATGTCTAGATTAATGTCCCCAGTTCCCTTCCTCTTCAGTGATTCCTCTGAGGGCTCTTTTCACTCTCTTCTCATCTGTGTCTTCCTTGAAGGACAGCCTCCAAAGCTGGACACAGTTCTCCTGCTGAGAGGAACGCTGAGAAGGGTATAAGGACTGCTTCACACATCTTGTACATTATATTCTTATTTCCACATCCCAGCATGGCATTTGTCTTTTCTGCAGCAGCAGACACTGCCAGCCCACTGAAATGACAGGCTCCTGTCCAACCTGCGAGTCACTGTAACCCCACATCTTTCTCTGCAAGAACTACTACCTAAGTAGTTTTTTCTCCTTCTGTGTTTGTACAGTTCATTATTTCTACCTAAATACAAAGTACCTATCACTGTCCTCTTAGCTTCCTGTCATCTATAGATATAATAATCACACTTTATTTCATCATCCAGTTTGTTAATGAAAACACTAAATAGCCCTGAACCCAGGACAGACTGGTCAAAACCCCACTCAGTGACTTCCTCTACTTTGATAGTAAGTCACTATTATCTCCCCTTTGAGCACACCTCTCTAACCAACTATAGCAGTAGACTCTCTCCTTAGCTTATACACAAAAATATTATCCCAGACAGTGTTAAAACTCTTTGTAGAGTCAAGTTATATGACATCTTCTTCTTTTCCTTCATGTACAAGGCCTCCTAATTTATTGTAGTAGGAAATCAGATTGATTTAGGATTGTATGTCTCTGAAAAGTCCATACTGTCTGTTATTCACCAGTACTCATCTTTTGTAGACATATCGTCTGATTGTTTGTTCCACTGTTTTTTTGAGACGGACATTAATCTGCCTATTTTTTAATTCCTCATCCATCCCTTTTTCAGGGATGTTTGTCCTCCTCTGGTACTCCCCTCATCCTTCTCAAGGCCAGCTCTGAGATTTCGTCTTTCAGTTCTTTAAGTGCCCTATCCTGAAGTTCATCAGGTCCATCTAATCTGAAAACATCTGATTTATCTAGGTGCTTTCTAAGTATGTAATTCAGTGGTTGCAGCAGCTGTGACATTCTGCTGCATTTCACCCTACATATAATAAACCAGGCACTACATCAGTGACAACCGTGAAATCAATGGAAGTTGTTCTTGTGTCAAAACTAAGCCCTCTGAGTTTCTATAATCAACCACAAAGCCTGAAGCAAGAAGAATCCTACATTTCCCAAATATCTTTGGAAACAGGCTGATTGGGTAATTTTAAATTCCACCTTCAGGACAGCTTACAATCTTTTAATTCTCTTTTTTGTTTGTTTGTTTGTTGAAAGAGGTATATATAAACCTGCTCCTGAGACTTAGCATTTTGACAAATGCTATATTGCAGAGAGAGGGAGAAGCCAGCTGCAATTCTTGCCACCACATCAATACACTTGCCAATGTAAGAGGTTACAAGACCAAAGCAATCCCATGTTTATTTGTTGCTGCTGCAATTTTCTTGAAGGGATTCTTTCATAACTTTAATGTGATTCCTGCCTTGTTCACATCACTGTTGCTCCCAGACTGCTCCACTTACACCTTGAAAGAGAGAGGATGGCTTGCTGGAAGTTACCTCCAATCACAACGTAAAGTAATAGGTTACCACATGTGTTGAGTGCAGCTAGTGGCCTAGAGATGATATAGGCAGAGTGGATTTGCTTCTCCATGTGACAACTGACTGCACACAGTCGTAGGTCAACTCGAGCCGCCCGAAAGATGTGGAAAGGGAGGAAGCACACATAAAAGACCACCAAGAGGACGATGGCAAGTCTGCGGGCCTTCTGTTTGTAGCAAGCCTGTGTGTGAGGCCCCGTAGCTAAAGTGTAAATAATGAGCGCATAGCACAGAGTCACTGTCAACAAGGGCAAGAAGAAGGCCAGTCCAGTCAGAAGCCAGTTATACCACCTGATTGTGCTGAGATTTTCAGAGCTAGTGAGGTCGAGGCATAAGAATCTATTTTGCTCCACTTTTGAGGAGATCAAGAAGTTGACAGGACTCACAGCTGCCAGTGAGATCACCCAAACCGCAGCGCAAGCCACCACCGTCCACCATTTCTTCTGGATGTGGAAGAATTTCATAGGGTGGACAATCACCAAGTACCGGAAGATGCTGTAGCAGGTGAGGAAGAGGATACTGCTGTACAAGTTAAAATGGAAACCAAAGCGGATGAACTTGCACATGAATTCGCCAAAGATCCAGTGTTCCCCGCTGGCATAGTAGTGTATTAGAAAGGGAAGGCTGGTTAAGTAGAGCAGGTCTGTGAGGGCCAGGTTCAGCATGATGATGGTGCTGCTCTTCCAAGGTCTCATCTTGAAACTGTAAACACAAATTGCAATGACGTTTCCTGGGAAGCCCACCAGAAAGATGATGCTGTACATAATCGGGAGATACAAAGTCTTCAGAATGGCTTCCACATCAGTGCAGTTGGGGAAATCACCCTCAGTGTTTTGCCAGGTGGCAAGTTTGGTTGAGTCTTCACTTGTGTTCATGCTTTTTCCTTAATGCCTAAGGAAGAGACAAATGTTTAGTGTTCACTGACAGATAAAAGCAAACGGGTTAACCCACACTGCCCTATGAAGGATTTCTTTATTGACAGAAAAACTTTCTGCTAGCCTGTGAAAACCTTCAAATAGCCAGGTCTTTCCTTGCAGCTTCCCATCAGTCACTATTAAAGTGCCTTTGTTGAATAAGAAAAGGCCTTGTTGCTTTGATGAGAACTGATCCTGATCTAGTAGCCTTTTATTCATCTCTCTGTATAGATAGATATAATTTTATTTTAAAAAATTGTTTTTCCGAGAAGGGCCGGCACAAGTACTCTTCAACAGAAATGTAATGGACTTCGAGCACCACAGTGTGTGAAGTGTGCTCCCCAGTATACAAAGTTCATCTTCTACTCTTATCAAGGATCAAGTGGAGCAGAAGGATAGATTAGTTGTGTTCTTCTATTCACTAAAAATACAAAGGGGAATGTCTTCAATGTTATTCGTTCATAAAAACTATTTATATCTTCTGCTAATTAACTGGAAAACAGTGCAGATGTTGAAATGATTTCCTATTGTTTATGATACTGGAGTTGATTGACATTTTTCTCCCTCTTTCTTGAAAACAACTGATACAGGAATATTTAATTCTTTTAATTTATTAACAAGACTAATATTGAAAGAAATAGGTTATGTTCAGGCTTATCATTAGCTGCTATATAAATTTCTGTCCCTGTAAAATTTTTAAATAGTTTTGCTTAGATAGTAGATTATTTTCTGAAACACCAGGATAAATTCATCCAACTTTGCAAAGCAGCCATTCTCGAGATGCAACATAGGACTCGAGCAGTATCCATGAAACTGGGGAAATGAAGAGTCAAATACATGCTCTGTCCAGTAGAAAATAGAGGGCCACTGAAGCTGCTGGCAAATAACTGTTACTGTTGCATCCAGTAAATGCACTTGTGTGAATGCCTTCTTTCTTTTCAAGTGGAGTAGCTGTTTTGATAGAAAAAAAAAAAGGAGAACAAACCTCCAATGTAATCATTTCCTGAGGGATGCTACCTCTTATGGGACAAAGCCCTACCACAAATTACTATGGCCTGGATCTGTTAAAGTGCACCATACTGAATCATCACTTCCATTTCTTGTACGATGTTGAATTTTTTTTATGTTGCTTCTTCCTCCATTCACTTGTGAAATTTCACAGAGCCAGGTTTGCAAATTTATGTAGAACGTTTGGTTGGAATATGCTTAAAACACTTTAAAAACTGCAGCTGGAGCTTGAGGAGACATATGCTAAACATTGTCGTTTGTTTTCAAAGAGCCAAACAGGTTCAAATTCCTTTTCACGGTTGGGAATAGAGGAGGAGATGTTTTGTATAAAGTTGTATCTTGACTGCAGGTTTGCAGCATTTTCCAAGCTAGCATCCCTATCCCACCCAGCAGCACAAGGATCATTTCCTGAGGGATGCTACCTCTTATGGGACAAAGCCCTACCACAAATTACTATGGCCTGGATCTGTTAAAGTGCACCATACTGAATCATCACTTCCATTTCTTGTACGATGTTGAATTTTTTTTATGTTGCTTCTTCCTCCATTCACTTGTGAAATTTCACAGAGCCAGGTTTGCAAATTTATGTAGAACGTTTGGTTGGAATATGCTTAAAACACTTTAAAAACTGCAGCTGGAGCTTGAGGAGACATATGCTAAACATTGTCGTTTGTTTTCAAAGAGCCAAACAGGTTCAAATTCCTTTTCACGGTTGGGAATAGAGGAGGAGATGTTTTGTATAAAGTTGTATCTTGACTGCAGGTTTGCAGCATTTTCCAAGCTAGCATCCCTATCCCACCCAGCAGCACAAGGAAGACAAGAGAGCCTGGGAAATGTCAGCGGTATCTGGTATTTCACATGAAGGAGAGGGATGCAGTTTGACTAGGGCAAAGAGAGGGTGATGTGCACAGGAAAGCAGGTGAGAAGTCATGCAGTTATAGCCTCGTCCCCAAACAAACTTAAAGCCACTGGTATGGCTAATGTTTAACGAGCTAAATAGCAAAAGCTTCATCCAGCAGTAGAGGTCACATTGTGCTGTCTGCCCCTGGAAGCACCTAGCACTGTGCACACCATGGTGTTTACAGGGCACAGCCATTAAAAGAGCTGAAGTGCACATCTGGATACTGCTTCATGTGATAGGGTGCTATACTTGGTGGTTCTGCAGGACTCTCATTTTTTTGCCAGACTTTTTTCCTGCCTACCAGTGTGCTGCCACAGCAAACCTATAGGGACTGCAGAGCAATCCCTCCGATTACTGAAGAGCAGAGCAGCGGCACTCAGCCACTGCAGTCCCTAATGTCTGCCACAGTCTCTCAGTTGCTCTCAGAGCTGTTCCCTTTGCTATCGGCAGGGTATCTCATGGTATTTGCCTCCCTTCTGGGAACATGAGACTCCCTTGCAGACCAGGCCACTGCAAACCTGGTGTTGGCCAAGAAAATCTGGAGTGGAGAAAAGTGTTGGAGGAAAAGCACATGGGTTTGGGTCTCAGGTCTGAACTTCTGCCCTAGGACTATGTCTGATGTAACAGGTTACCACAGTGGCAACAGAAAGGCGACAGCAAGTCTTTGCTGTTGGCCTTGTTGTTTTGTTGTCTGAAATACAAACATAATTTAGACAAAACTTAAATCTAATTAAGCAACAGTTTGTACTGAGGCAGATTTTATCACACTAAGTAATCGGCCGTAATGAGACTTGTGCAGCCCAAGCAGAGGGCAAATGATATATGCTGTAGACATATAACGAACTTTAAATAAATTATCCAAGAGCAGAACTCATAATAAAAGGGAACTAGATTATTGAAATAGAAACCCTCTTTCAGTCTTAATGGTGGAGTCACTGCTCTATTACATGGTATGCTTTACTGTAACCAATTGATTGGAGTCACTTTAAAAAATGTTATGATTGCTTGTCTTTAATTGCAATCACGTATAAGGGAAACTTGTCTGCTCCTACATTGTGATAATTTAATTACAGCCTGCTGGAAATAAAAGCCAAATGGCTGCAGCCATGGCAAAGTAACCTAATGCCTGTAATTGGACTATATTTCACACAGATGTGTTGCTGAGTAAATTAAATAAGATTTGGCTCGCAGTGTTCGACTCTTCCACTGGCTCAGACTTAAGAAATGCAAATGATATATTTAAGGATGAAGACATGAGCCCTCCTCCCCTTACTCTTTATCATTCAGTGAGGTATCTCCATGCAAAAAGAGTATTTGGATTTAATTTGAGTACTGGATGCATCCCAGATAAGTTTAATTTGTTCTGTGCTTTCACCGTGTTTTAACCCTTTGCTCCTCTCTGTCTACTTCACCCTGCCTCCAAATCAAGACCTTTAAAAATAAAATATGCACTTTACCTGTAAATCCTTTGTGATCTCTCCTGTCCTCTTCATAGCTGGAGCCGTAAATATCCCACTCTGTTGCTTGTGAGTTTGCTTTTAAATATGACAGGTTTGTGTAGTGAGAGCGTCAGGGAAGTTAGCGGGCAGACTGCAGGAGCGCTCTGCCTCCATTCCCAGGGCTTTGCTGGGCGAAGGCAGCGCGGGCGCCGCGTCACAGGACCAGAGCAGCTCTGACCCTCCTCACCTTGGCAAGGGCTCTCTGTCAAATCCCCCCACAACAGAGGCCACGCGAGTGGCTGTCGTTCCCCTTCCTGGCCTCCACCACCAGCACGGGACATGTGGGCTTGCCCTGTGTCGCTCGCCAGATCAGCTGGGACCGCCCGCAACCTGTGTGGTTTGGCTGCGGTGGTTTGTTTTGGGTGTTTCCAGCCCTCAGCGAGGGAGGTAGAGCAGAAGTGCAGGTGCAGGCAGAAGCAGCGCTCACATCAAGAAATACTTCCACCCCTGGTGTCTGTGCATGGGATAGGAGAGGTGGGAGATGGGGGAAAGAGGAGGTGACAGCAGGGTTTTAATTGACAGCAGTTGCTCTGCAGAGAGCTTGGCAGGTGCCGGGAGAGCGGACCCAAATCCTTGCCTTCTGCTCCCTGACTGGGAGCTCCCTTGGGGGAAGCAGCTGCCTCTCCCATGGGGAAGTCCCTCGTGGAGGCACAGGGCTGAGTGCTCAGGGATGCTCGGGGGTGAGCAGGAGCCGCTCGTACATGCAGTCCTGCTCGTCTTGGGTCTGTGGGCTCTGACCCAGTGATTGCTATCCTAAACCTGTGCTCCAGAGTGGCTGCGAGCTGGAGCCTGTGCCTAAGACCATGCGCTCCTTTGCAGGTGCTGAGGGCACCCCAGCTGGAGGAGGCCTTTGCTGGAGAAAGGCGTTGCCTGACTCCACCAGACGACCTCCTGCACCAGGAACACTTTACACGGGCACTACGTGTTTGTGCTGCCCTGACCGGTCCTGAGGGTCAGAGGAACAAAAAAGCCTAGGAAGTCAACATACATGTCCTATCTGCACAGTGTTTGCAAAAATACCCAACCTCCTGTGTGACCTGGGCTGTTTTAAAGGCCCCACATATCCAGGCAATAAACTAGAAGAAAGATCAGCGCTTCCCTGACTGTAGCCAAGGGCAGCCCCTCCAGAAGGGGCTGGCAGAAGTCCCCTCTACCTTGGGAGGCTGGAGAAGGGCACATGTGCCTTCCTGGGTGCCCTGCAACAGGGCTTTTACTTTCTTGGCCTGCTGAGCTGTGAGGAACAGGGGCTTGCTCAGAGATGCCGCTCTAATTATGGCACAGGGGCAGATAATTTAAGATTATATGGAGTGACTTGACCTTTTGGTGTGTGTGCTAGCTGAGAACATGGCATTGTAGAGAATTCCTGCAGAGCCAGGATTTATGCGTTCTGCTTGATCTTCTCTCTCCCTTCTCTAAGTTTTTGATTCATGGGTAACTGCTCTGCTTACTGCCATGTTGTTTCAAAGCATTGCTTATTTTTCTGCTTTCACGCTTCTCTTTTCCCGTGAAGAAGAAAACACTTTCAAAAGCACAAGCATTCCAGATTTGTTTTT